CTTATGGGCAAATCTGGACTGAGGTTTCTGTGCTTTTGTTGTACTTACTGTAAGTGTGTCGAGTGCCGAGCATGTGAAAATTAGTGCAACTGATTATCCAGTTTGGCTGCTAGTGTCATAAATGTCATTCACACACTAAACTGTGTAAATGCAGAGCCCCCTGGCGGTAGGAATGGTTTAATGCATATAATTAACATTTTAATGAATAAAATATAATACAATGCATATACATGGACAGTTTGGTCTAGTGATAAAAAATTTCAAACACCTTTTCAAATGAGTTTTATTATTTTTATACGCGTTTCTTAAAAATAATTGCACCAAATAATTGATAGTTGCTGAAAAATCTCCACTCCACTTGTGAGTTGCAGTGATGGTAAAATCCAACCCGATCTCACGGGAATTCGTACGAATTTTACGCGGTGGCTAATTCGTAACAATTCGTACGACCTCACTCGTACGAATTAGTACGATTTAGCTAAATCGTACATATTTCACGAATTAGCCAATTCGTATGAATTCGTACGAATGACCTACCCCTGACCCCGCCCCTAAACATAACCGTCACGTGGGTTTATACAAATCGTACAAATTTGTACGAGTGAGGTCGTATGAATTAGTACGAATTAGCCACTTTTGAATCACTCGTATGAATTCTTAAGAATTGGTCGTGAGATAGGGTAGGTAAAATCAGATAAACGGCTGTGTTGCAGTCTCAGCAGAGCACAGAGAAACCAGGATGGATAGGATTCGAGAAAGATACATCATTCACCTGTGCATTAAAAATCATCTTTCAGCACCATTCTGAACAGGCTTTTCCCCAACTTTCCAGAGACTCCCACTGAGATCCATCCGTCACACATCATTCTCCACATGATAATCAACGCATGAGATGCGCACTGCAAACACATCTGTCCACACTTGCGCAAAGTGACAACGGATCAATCACATATGCAGCCAGGGTTTGATTGCTGGCCCCAAAAGCAAGTCTTCCTTCAAGGATTTCATTGTATCCTCAGCTGTGCAAACTCAGCATTCACGACCTTAACTTTTGCAAGTCGAGATTCAGACGTGTGCACACTGCACATCAATCAACAAACGGGAAACCCAAACATCTCCAAGTTTTGCAAATAAACAACTGAGGGAATGTGGTTACTAATCCTAGCGCTAAGGGTGTGATGAGTCAGCTTCGCCTTACACCCCGTGACATTTCCACGCTACATAAATGAATGATTCACCCGTCCAGTTGCTGTGGTGAATATTCCTCTTTCCCACAAGCCGATTTGATGTCACCATCCGCTTTTAGAGGCGCATGATTTGAAACGCCGCCATTTCTCAGACACTCCCGGCCGGTGTTGTGCATGCGTTTCCATGGCTCTGCTGTAATGGTTCACAGGGGGAGTCGGTTCTTGGATGGGGGCTAACTGTAAACGTGTTGTGGTTTTGGAGGTCCGAGCAGCATTTCTTGCATTTCATCCGCTGGAGGCAATTGCCGACGAGGCCAGTAGTGAGTGAGGGCTCGGATAAGCAACATAAGGCCTGCCATTTTTTCCAGAATCACACAACAGCTGAGTTACTTAAGGTTTTCATGAAGGATGAGGACAGAGAGTTGGCTCATAAGATATCCCAAGGAAGCTGCCTCACCATTTCCACATAACAGTGGCTCTCCTCTCGAGAAGTGGGAGATTCCCTCTTTCTCCATCTGTAGGGGCTGAGCTCAAAAAGACACACATCACAGGCACTGAACACTCAAAGGTTAAGTCACTTGTTCCATGGCAGAGTTACCTTATACGCCCGGTACTGGCACAAGATGTTTTATTGATGCCATTTGCTGAGTGTCTTCTGGAGAACATTTAAAAAGAGTTGGCAGAAAGAGGGACGAAGAGAAGGATTGAGAGTGTGAAGATAAAGAAGGTGTCTGAGGAAAACTTGTCTGCTCCTTGACCTTGAATTTCCAGTCCATCTAAGGATCAGGAGTAATTGAAACCAAGGGAAGTTCTGCAATTGCTTTAGTTTTTCCACAGTCACAGTCAAACCAGTATTGCATAACCCTGGCTTGGTGAGATGGCACTGTGAACCTGGTTGTGTTTAGCATGCATCATCAAAAAGTGAGAGGAAGTGAGTTTGTTTTTGTACAATTCCCAAAATTGAGTTTGTTGTGTAATCAAGGGGACCTTCCTTCCTGGGGAAATCCGTGTTCTCTTCTCAAGTTTCTTGATCAAAGTGATCAAAGTTGCTTTAGATGAGGAGTATCAAACCCTGCTCCTAGAGGACCACCTTCATCTAGAGTTAGTTCCAAACCTGATCAAAGGGCTTCGGGATTACTTTAAAATCACAGTAAGGCGTAGGGGTGTAAAGGTTCAAATTCCTCATGCTTCGGTTTTCATTGCGGTTTCGGTACGGATTGGTATGTGCTTAGCCTGGGAAAACCCAGATGAACTTCCGGCAAATTTGAGATTTGCTCTGCAAGTCAGTCTGGCCAAGAGCCCATTCAAGCCCATTTCCAATTTTTCCAAATCGAGGTACCGATCACAAATGTTGAGGCGGGCTTTACACAATGGCGATAGCTCTGATTGGTTTTAGGTCTATCCAATTGCATCCAAAGGTATTTGAGCGACCTTCCCCAGACCCATTCTCAGTTACAACTGAGAAGGGTCTGGTGTCAACCAGGCTAGTGCTATGTACAGGGGGAAAAAAGGACTACTGATACAAAATAGGGCTTTTCGGATTATTTAGGTATCTAACACAAGTTTTCAAGTGCAGAAATTGAGTAATCAAATGTAAAATAACATTGCACACAATCTTCACTGTATAAATTAAATAAATATGAATCATTATTAAAGTTACAAAAGCTATATTAAGTCAAGAGCAGTCGGTGATATCCTTGTCTTTTGTTGTTTGATTAACATTAAAAACACAGATAACAGGAATATTAGGCTACTGTCACTTTAAAACATACAGTAGCTAATGCACGGATCCAAAATGCAGATATGCGTTGTTTTTCTCGACTGTTAAGTTAACTTAAGACATATCCTACTTTGCTTGATTGGATACTCGCCAAGACGGGCATGTTGGCAACTTTTCAAGACTTGAACTCAATATTTGTCTGAGATTCGGCTGTCTGAGATTCGGCTTTCTGTGTGCGTGCTTCAGATGTGTGTGCACACAACTCTTCTTACAGAGCGCAAATTCTTTTTCGCGTCATGCACTTGAATTTTTATATTGTCAAGGCTTAAATGAGTTTGTTTAAACACCGATAACAACGTGAGCTGTTTAGGTCTAACCTGCGCTCGCCCACTATCAACAATAGGTTGATGACGGCGTAAATACTGGTCATATTATCTCATATTAGCGCATATGGCACTCCTATTTAACAAAGTTTACATAGATTTTGATTACACGATTTTTTTTTTAATAATTTAGATTTTTTTGACCCTGTTGCGCCCCTCTATAGGCCATAACCAGTGACTAGTCAATGTCAAACTTAAATTGACATTGTATTGACAGAAACATACATTAGCCTAACTAGTCTGTTTTACACGTTATTTTCTAGGAGCTGTAACTAAATTCTGGAGGACGGTGGCCCAGGTTGACACCCCTGCTTAAGACAAAAGCTTATTAGGCTGTACAGGGATGATCCATGAACTATCGACATTGTGCCCTGGAGCAAAGCACCCACAGTGTAGGTCGTTTTGTAGAAAAGGTGAATGCAAATTCTTGTCCACTTGGCAGGAACTATACTGCCAAGAATTACCACAGCCGACAGTTAAAACAATAGTGCCATGGTGTCTTCAGATAATGGTTGTAGTCTACATGCCAACCACTATTATCTTTCAAAAATGCAATTCACGGTTGTGCCGCCTAAGGTTAACTGCTTCAAACTAAGACTCTGGACTTATCGCACTGAGAAAAACATCAGCTAAATGACTGACTGGTTAATAGCCACCTCCTTCAGGTGTCATTGAGTAAGATTTTGGCAGACGCCTAATGCCTAGTTCACACTACATGATTTTAAAATGTCGGGCTGAACTGTGCAGTTCACACTACATGACTTGCTCTCAGTGAAATCATGAGTGTTCAAGTTGTTTAGCTGTTCACACCACACAACACAACGTGATTGATCCACAACAGGAGGTAACTCACTACACGAGTTAACAACGCACTACATAGAGATACAACCACGATCGGATGATAAGAGCATATCATTTGTGACTCAATGAGAGCTGTTTCAGTACTATAGTACGGTCTAAATCCTGAAAATAATCAAACAAATAACGAGTTGACAACAACACGATTCTATCTGGTCTAGAAACCATGTTTTGTCACGAAAAACCACGCAATAAAACGAACCAGAAATGACGCGAAACTGCAGAGAAGAACACAACACGCGAATATGGACGTCAGACAGAAACTAGTGCTGCACACTGTTTGCTCGACGATCTGCTCTGAGAAAAAAAATGCAAAAAAGAAAAAGTAAGATTTACCTGGTGTCCTCAACCCATGCGTTGCTATGATTGGCTGTACTCATGACATCACTGAGATTGAGTCGCGCGACTGCTCGAGATATCTAGCATGCTAGATATTTTTCTGAGCTCGGTGACCTGTCTGCGAGGTGTCTGCGAGCTGTCTTTGATGCGTTGTTGGCTCTTTCACACTAACGGATTGGCGAGCGTTAATCGTCCACTAATCGCCCGCGATTTGCACGCGATAACACCCTGACTTGTCGGCGACTCAACGATTTGCAAATCGGGCTTAAATCGGGCTTAAAATCACGTAGTGTGAACTAGGCTTAACACGTCTGGCCAAAGACGCAAATGTTATCTTAAAGACCTGAACATAATGTTGAGGTTAATCTGACAAAGAATCAAAGCAACTAAAAGAGAAATTGAAAATAAGCCTACAAAAAACTGCTTAATGAAAGCCAATTAAAACTTGGAACGTTCACTGCAAATAAAATTAGCTCTAATCCAACCTTTAAACCATTTTGCACACCATTGATGTAACATGGACAAAATTTATTTACATTTAAATCAAATCATTGTGCACTATTCTTTATTCGGAAAAATAGAACTTGTGCTGTGACCAACCATGAAAATCATAGTGGAAATCAATCAAATTAAAAATATACATGAATAGAACAAATCTGTTGTGGTAATGGACGTTAACATGCATTTAATATACTTGTGTGTGTGTGTGTGTGTGTGGCAAGTGTTTTACAAAAGTAGAAAAAATTACCACTGCAGGAGAGTCACTAAACACAAAACACATTCCTAAAGTTGAATTCAATTATGTATGGACAATCACAAATAAAATTAACCACAAGGGCCAAAAACGTAAAATGTTAAAGTTGCAAATATAAATATGGAACTAGGCCTACACTTAATAGTTTAGCTATTGCGAAACGTTCTCTCTTCAGTCAGTCCGTGTTTCAAGACAATTACGTCTCACATTGCAAATAAAAACGACGAGTAAGAATCAAAGTAAAGGCACTGACAAATGAAAAACCATACAGGCTTTCCATCGCAAAAGAGAGGAACAAACATGATGCCCGGACGTATAGTTGTGTTATCTGGTGTGGTCACATGACATGATACTGTATGCGTCACTAACGTGTTAATAAATATGGCCTTGACATTGCAGCAATAAATCAGCCCATTGTTAAAAACAGTAAACATAGTCACAAATACATCGCTTTTCTACATTAGATCACAATCTGTTCATCCATCATGGTGACGGTTGCTCACTTCTCCATAAATGATTCAAATCAAATCTTTAGTCCGTTTACTTTCCCCGCAAACTTTCCTCCACCATGGCAGAAGATCTTCTTGCGTTCAAGAAAAAAGGCAAGTGTCTGTTGAGAAAATACAATATCTATTGGTGCAGTGTCAAGGCAAAAAGGTTTTTAAGGCTGTCAAATCTTATTTTAAAAAGAGAAGAATTTTAAGAACTGTACCTTGGGTTTAGTCTGCAACTCTAATTACTAGAGCTCTCTCGTCTGGCATCAAGTGCCCTATAATGAAGACACAAAACATAAAATGTACCAAAATTAACACAGCAATACAGAGTGATGGTTTTTCCTGCTTGAGGAAAGCAGTCTGTTTTAATGTGACGCTGAAACAATCAGTACGTCAACTATTATTGTCTTGACTGACGGCTTGAAATGAACTCCGAACTGAAGATTTTCTGCCAGGGTTGAGTGTAAGAACCAAAGAATGTTCATGGTTTGCTTTCAGACATGTGTATGTCATCTATTTTACATTTATATATGTGTATACTTGTGTTTCCACGTGTTATTCTGGTTTATCAAACTCTGTTCCAAAACCTAGTAGGCTACCGTGCTGTCTACTGACTAACTAGGCTACGTAAGTAAATGGAACAGTTCCAAATAGGCAGTTCCAAATGGAACCTTTCGAATGTTCCGCAAGTGAACCACACAGACGACTAGCTTAGAAATACGTAGCACACACAAATACGTAAAATATAGTTTTTCAACAATTTTCAGTAGGCCTAATTTTTAAATAGAATAGCCCTCGCGTTGGTAAGTCGCCTACAAAGACCTAAAATACCTCCCCTCCTACGTAGGAAGCTTACTAGGTTTTGGAACATAGCCTGAGTGTGTGTGGCTCCAAACTACAGTGAGCTTGCAGCTGGTATGACAGTTAAACATTACTCAACCCCAGTGTTCATTTTTCAGTCTGGTACACTCCACCTGTCTGGAACTCTATACGGCACCTGGCACAGGTAGAACACCCACGGAACGGGCCTGCTGTCTGGATTTGCCTTGCCATGCCATTGCAGCTCAGAACATTGAGCTCTTTTGAAGACGTACTGTATTAAGTACCAGTGCACAAAGAGTTCAATTCATATTCAGAAACGGACTGTCTCGAATAAAGACAAAAGAAAAGAAACAAGTCGTTGCTTTTCAATGGCATGAAAACAATTTTTTTTTTAGTTTAAATACTGCTTTTGGATCTGAGCAGTGGCACCAGTTCTGAGTCTTTAAAACTCACTTAATACATTTTTAATATCATATGATTGTGTCGATAATCATTTTTTGTCACTTTTTCAGCACTATGTGATATTGTATGTATTTACAAAAATTTAGAATTCTCTTCAGCAGGGGTTGGCAATCTTTTAGGCATGATGTGCCATTTTAGAGTTCAGTTCCAAAACCCATACCTGTAATTTTCAAACCATCCTGGATGGATGGATGGATAGACCGATGGGTGGGTGGGGGCTTGGATGGATGGATGGGTTTCTAGGGTGGATGGATGGATGATGGATGGTTAATGGGGGCTTTGGGTGGATGGGTTTCTAGGATGGATGGATGGGTGGGGGCTTGGATGGATGGATGGGTTTCTAGGATAGATGGATGGATGGATGGATGGATAGATTCTAGGTTTCTAGGGAGGATGGATGGAAGATGGATGGATAGGTGGGGGCTTGGATGGGTGGATGGGTTTCTAGAGTGGATGGATGGATGGGTTGGGGCTTGGATGGATGGATGGATGGATGGATGGATGGATGGGTGGGTGGGTGGGTGGGTGGGGGCTTGGATGGATGGATGGGTTTCTAGGACGGATGGATGGGTTTCTTGGGTGGATGGATGGATGGATGGATGGGTTTCTAGGGTGGATGGATGGATGATGGATGGATAAATGGGGGCTTTGGGTGGATGGGTTTCTAGGATGGATAAATGGGGGCTTTGGGTGGATGGGTTTCTAGGATGGATGGATGGGTGGGGGCTTGGATGGATGGATGGATGGGTTTCTAGGATAGATGGATGGATGGATGGATAGATTCTAGGTTTCTAGGGAGGATGGATGGAAGATGGATGGATAGGTGGGGGCTTGGATGGGTGGATGGGTTTCTAAAGTGGATGGATGGATGGGTTGGGGCTTGGATGGATGGATGGGTGGGTGGGTGGGGGCTTGGATGGATGGATGGGTTTCTAGGACGGATGGATGGGTTTCTTGGGTGAATGGATGGATGATGGGGGCTTGGATGGATGGATGGATAGATAGATAGATAGATAGAGAATTTAACTTTTCAAAATGCCTTTCTTAATAAAAATAACTGAACTATTTACTGAACCCAATATTCCTGGTCTATAAAAAATTATTATTTGTAAAATGTATCAATAACAACAGACCAATCTGCTCCCTCCAGCTTAAGCGCAGTGTTTTCATTACATCACACTTGTGTTTGTCTTCCAATATAATGGGAAAAGAAAGGCATGCAGAAGCACATTACCCTTTTTTTTTTAAACAACTTTAATATTGATATATCTACATATAATATTAACCTCTCTTGCTATTTTTGCTAGTGTGCCAGTGGTTCCCCCTCCAGCACTGGCAGGCGTGCCTAAGGTTGCCAACCTCTGTTCTATAGAATTTACTGCCTTATGTTTATAAGCTGCTGAGGTCATACTTTACTGACGGACAAGGGAAGTTCGCCTTCCAGTAAGTGATGCATTTACTAATTTTGTAGTCTGTTTTTTGGCTAGTGACTGATCATAAAAGTACATGTTAAAGAAAAGTTCTGGGTTCAAAACAAGTTAACGCAGCATATGTGATATGCAGTCGATTACCACACAAAGTAATACTGACTTGTTCCTCAGTTTTGAAAACAAACAAAATTGTGTGCATAGAAACGTACTTACAATGGATGCGAGGAAGAAATGTGCAGCTCGTATTGTTGTTAAAATGGAATTCTTCCATACCGAAATGTAAATGAAAATGTAAATTGTATAATTCTGTGCAAATGTCTTGCTCTATACATATACACTGCGACTGTAAATGCATATTTTTCTCATTTATACAAACTGAAGGACGAGCCAAACTATTTTCTGTGGTCATCGGCATTATTTCACAGATGCTTTCCGTTGAGCTTAAGTTATATGGAAACCAGAACATTCTGATGGTGCACGTGTATCGGGTCTATTATCATGCGTTTGTGTTTGAACAAACACTTACCCTTGATGCTGTTGGAGAAAATTAGCAAACTGGCGGTCCTTGGCATACAGCTCGATAATTCGAATACGGTCCTGGATTTCCTGTCATGAGAGCGGGAAGGTGAAAGAGAGGGAAAAGAAGATAGACGGTTATGTAACAACATGAGCTGACCTCTCCGCGCCAGTCCTTTTACTTAGACGTCTAGACCACTTTAAACCAAGAGCAAAGGTGACATCACCAACACTATCTCACGACCAATTCGTACGAATTCGACGCATGATTAAAAAGTGGCTAATTCGTACTAATTTGTACGACCTCACTCGTACTAATTCGTACGATTTGTCTAAACCCACGTGATGGTTAGGTTTAGGGGCGGGGTAAGGGGTAGGTCATTCGTACGAATTCATACGAATTGGCCAATTCGTAAAATATGTACGATTTAGCAAAATCGTATTAATTCGTACGAGTGAGGTCGTATGAATTGTTACGAATTAGCCACTTTTTAATCATTCGTCGAATTCGAACGACTTGGTCGTGAGATCGGGTTGGACATCACATCTTTTAAAAGCAAATGTATTTTGGCAAATATCAGAACATTTGAATTATTTACTCGTGTTCCATACTTACAATCTTAAAATATGAATCCCAATCATAAAGCTATTGTTACATTGTTACAAATAACTACTGAATACAAATTCATTAGTTAACAGTTTGATTTTCTCATCAGTTCAATTCATAATCAATTCATTGCACTTTTATTAGCTTACTTTTATTAGCTTTGACTTTTTATTGAACTTTTGTGTCGGAAAGATCTATTTTTAATTATTTGTCAACTTAATATAACGCATGTGAGTTGTATAACCAACCCATTTCATATTTTTTCCAGACATTCAATTTTAAAAATGTTTGTACAAATTCATATGAAATCAACACTGTGTAAAATAGACATGTTTTCTAATAAATTCAACTTCTTAGCTTAGTTTTGAGAAACCTTTTCAGCATTGCTGTGTTTCACATGTATTTTTGTTCACTTTTTATTCCGAAAAAATGTATTTTTAATTATTCGTCAACTGAACAATCAGCAACCAGATGACTCAATGTAACGCATCATGTGAGCTGTACTTCCACCCTTCCCTTCATTTTTTAGAGTTTCAATCCTAAAATATGAAACTCCATCATACAAATATTGTTATATTTTACATTATTTTTGTATTTACTTACATAACTATTACTATATAACGATAATTAAAAAAAACAAGTCAAAGTCGTGCACCCATTAACGCTCCACTAAATGTTTTATGGTTAAACTCAACTGCAGGTGTTGGTGAATAAAATACATTTTCCCTCTAAAACGGTTTAATGCCTTCGGTTCTGACTGTTACATAAGAAATATGATTTATCTACCCATCAAGTATTGTTTTCCAAAGAAGACATGCTTGACCGTTCTCCATTGTTCAATGCTGCCAAGACATTCTCCATTGTGAATATATCAGTCACGCAGACTGACAGTTTCATTGCTACAGGAACAGAGCTTTAGTTGAAGGACATGGAGTGTTTTTAGGAATGTTTTTGAGGAATATTCAGTGCAAACATGTAAAACTTGAAGTAATTGTGCAGACCACTTGTATAAACACACACAGCTGTACAGCTGTGTACACAGTGCATACCATGAGCGCCTGCTTATTAGTGTATTTATCAACAGACTCTAATGGTAATTTGTAACCATTTTATTTTAATAATTGTATGTTAATTTGTACAATCTCATTTACAAGTGTACAAGTACGATTTACGTACACCCCATTGATGGTTATGTTTAGGCTGCGATGCGTATGACTTTCGAAAATTGACTTATGTCGGAAAGATTCGTTTTTAATTATTCGTCAACTGAACGATCAGATGAGAGCTACACATCCATCCCACAAAACATTGTCAAATGAAATGTGTCGTCTTTTAGGGTCTATTATTAACATACACACAAATTCATTATTTGCATTATGCATTACCTCTTTCGTAAGTTCAGTGTTTTCATAAATGTGTCGTATTTCCTCACTGCTGAAGTCCGTGGAGATCTCAGCGCTGCCGGTGCTGTACGCAGGGGTATCTGGGTAACGGCGGTAGTACCGACTATAGCCCGTAGTTGCTTCGCTTTCAAACATGGGATTGTACTTAGTAGCTCTTTCTAGAGATGGCACGTTCTCTGCAAATCTGTGGAAATGTCAGGAAACAAAAGTCAGAATATGGACCTCATCAATGCATCAGAAAAAAAAAGAGTCTTGGTGCTAATTTGGGAAACACAGGTTCGAATCGAATGCAAAACATGTTTCACTTCCTGTATATCATCTCTCTACTATATGTCAATAAATGATATTAAAGGGTTAGTTCACCCAAAAATGAAAATTCTGTATTTACTCACCCTCATGTTGTTCCAACCCCGTAAGACCTTCGTTCATCTTCGAAACACAAATTAAGATATTTAAGATATTAAGATCGCTCCTGCATACAAGTCCATAGGCTTCTTGAGGGAATGACACTTGCTGTCCTCGAACAGTCATTAAAGACATCGTTAAAATAGTCCAAGTGACTACAGGGGCTCAATTTTTAACTTTATCAAACAACAAGAATACTTTTTGTGCGCAAAAATAAACAAAAATAACGACTTTATTTCAACTATTCACTTCCTTCTCCATGGGCCTGTAGTCAGTTAACGTAGTGTGATAGCGTAAAGCTACGTCACACGTAGGCTCACTATTGGCCGACGCTGGTCATGTGTGTGATGCGTGTGACGTACAATAACAGAAGCTTACGCTATTAAACTAGTAACCTGATTTGAGGCAGAGGGAGAAATAAACGAATAGTTGAAATAAAGTCGTTATTTTTGTTGTTTTTTTGCGCACAAAAGTGTTCTCGGCGTTTGATAAACTTAAGATTGAGCCACTGTAGTCACTTGGACTATTTTAACGATGTCTTTAATGACTTTTCGAGGACAGCAAGTCATTCCCTCAAGAAGCCTATGGACTGTATGCAGGAGCGATCTTAATATCTTAAATATCTTAATTTGTGTTCCGAAGATGAACGAAGGTCTTACGGGGTTGGAACAACATGAGGGTGAGTAAATACTGACAGAATTTTCATTTTTGGGTGAACTAACCCTTTAATAAATAAACGAATAAAAAAAAATATATGTGGATACAAGAATTTTTGGAGATAATGACCAAAAGAGAGAATTAGATCGCTTCTAAAATGGCTAAATTGTGCAGAAAAATCCAACGGTTTGTATCTGGAACCGAAGATGCCCTTGCCGTGGGCTTGTACAAGTATAGGAGATCGTCCCACCTATTTATATCTGCCCAAAGGTCAGATAGTGGAGCCACGGAAAAAGTGAGTGGATTATCTCAGCCTGAGTGAGAGCGGCTCAATGTTCTACTGTCCTGGCATTCATTCCTCTATAACCTGTTGATCAGGATCACTGATTGAATCCTCTGCAAAGACGTTACATCATCTTATGTCTGCCAAGTTTCCCTGTTCGCCCTGGTGTTGGTGAAGCAAGTATGCAGTGTTTATGTTTACAGAAAAAAGTCTAGATGCAAAAGAGAGATAAATTCATTGTTCTAATAAATAAACAAGTGTATACTATTTATAATACTAATCATCATAATGATGATGATAGCATGATTATTATTATTATTATTATTATTAGTGGTTTTGGCTCTCATGTTGATTTATTATGGTTGTGTGAGTGATTTTTACAGCTTTAAAAAGACTGGTCCCATGGTCATTTTTAGTGCATGTTTTTAGTCAGGTCTAGTTCGTCACAATATTTACATGTTTTATATATATTTCATATCAAATTCAGTCACAGTTATCTAATACAGCGTGGAGGAAGTGCTAAAATATTTCTTGGGGGCATTGCATGTTAACTAGCCAATGGATATTAAAAAAAATTCCATATCACCATATTAGCATAACAATGTATCGGAATTAAAGTGTTCAAGACATAGCTTGTGAGAGGAACAACTTGTTCGAAAAATATAATTGATCCAACCTGCACATCCCTTGCCTAAGAGCATTTGTTTTGTAATCACCACAGAGAACATATTCTGCGTTCCGGCCTATTTGCACAACAAGGCCATAAAATCAACATATGCATGTTTGTGGCATGAAATATTTCCCTCCATATGTATATTCCAGAGCACAGTTTATTTGGCTCCTGTTTTAACTAGGTGGGAAAACAAAATGTCATATTTTTACATATTGGGATACACACTTTTTTGGGGGCCTCTAAAGAAACACATTTTAGTGTTTATATTGACCACACTAATAAGAAAATTTACAGCACTAAAAGAATGAGTCATGCTTCAAATGTAGTTTACCATGCCATATAGTAATTTAAATTAATTGAACTGGTATTATTAATCCACTTATAAGGTTTGTAGTCCACTAAGGAGTTCTGCTTGCTCTGAAGTTAAGCCTCTGTAAATGTCATCCAAAAATATGAGCTTATAATGTATTTGGAGCATTAAGAATTTGTTTGTTATGCTGTAAGCACAGTTTGTACCGTAAAGGGTCTTCTGAATCATCCGTGTCATACTGGTCTCGCAGAGTCCTGGCGAGGAATAAGATCACGCCCGACGCCACGAGGAGGAACCCTGCGACCGAGGCAATGGCGATGCCAACCACCAGTGGTTCTGACACATACTCCTCGCAGTGTTCGCCTCGATACCACCAGTTTTCACCGACTCGACACCTAAAACAAGTGACATGAGGGTTGGCGAATTCAATTTTTGGCCGTACTGTTCCTTTAAGAGTTGTTTTTACAGCACACACCTGCAGATGGCTCCCTTGCCAGGTATGATGTCACATTTCCCATCATTCTGGCAGAAGTCTTCCTGTATGTCACAGATACTCTGACATGGCAGCCCGTCCACGCTAAAATAGCCAGCATTGCAAACACACTCCGCCTCGCCTGACCAGCGGTTGACTAAACACTGGGAGAACTCATTACACGCTTGGAATTTACACGCATCAGCCTGATCACCTAGCGGAAAGAAAAACACAAGTTGTACATACATAAACGCTCACACCAATAATGGTGATGAATTTGAAATGATGTAAATAGGATTTACATAGAGAGTGTTTGCAACATTGTTAAAGAAAACAAAAAGCTTGGACTAAAACGATGAAAAAAAACTTTTAGTATTTGATAATCAAGCTGAAATGAAATGTAGAAATTAGAAATGTTTCCCTGTATAATAATATATTAATAATAATAATAAAACAACACTGGTTTGTGTTTAAAAAAGCGGATTTTTAAGACATCAAGTAAAAAAGCAACTAAATATTTTCTTAAAAATTTAAATACATGCAACTGTATTCATATTTTATTATTATTTGCAAAAATTAAATTTGTAAATTTTGTCCATATTATATATATATATATATATATATATATATATATACATTTTTTACAAATATCATGAATTATTAATACAAATATAATTAGGTTTTAAGAGTCGCACCACATGACATTTTAAACCTTGAAAGTTGTTTAAATATTAATAAGCTGTAAAATATTACAGTTTTTTTTTGTGTTTAAACAATATTTAATAAAAGATTGTTTCAATTCCAAACATGCTCATCATAGAATACGTGTATTCAAGTCAATGTTTGTATGAATTGATTTATGTATTTTTAAATAAATGCAAAAAAAAAATATCTAAGCAAAAACATGAACATGTCATCTATTTATTGGATCTAGAGTCAAGGTGGAATACATACAATGACGTTTTCAAGTATAGATGTCAGTTGGGAAATGTGACTATTCCTTTATAAGCAACTGAAATGTATAAATGTGGTGTCAAAACAAAGCTAATTTTCTGATTCGAAGGCTTCAGCATTTGGCCTTTAGAGATGCTGTGTGTTGACAAAGGAGCTCAGACAGAATTTACTTGCCCCCACACAGGGACACAAACAAATATGACTCACTTGTCTGGTGAGTTAAGAGCTGAACGTCTCACTAGAACAAATCAGCTCTAATCTGTCTGCAGTACAGAATCAATCCACCTATCACTCATCCTAACAAGGCCTAATGTTTTCCAAAGCCAGATTGGAATAAACCTAACCCCTATAGAAGAAACCTGCTCAACTTTGCGGTTTATCTGTAAAATACCAAGGTATATCTGTAAAATGCACAGCTATCAAAACTTGCTGGCAAAACAAAACTATTGTTACTCATAGTCTTAGACAAACTATACATACAGTAAGTGCTGCACAAACTGTGATCTATATCTAATAGTACAAAATCCCAGTCATGATGACTGATTCTAGTAATTTTGGGTTTTAAAAATGACTTCAAATTGGCAGAAAATACTTTTTTGGCAGGGATATATCCTTTAAAAAAATCTAATAATATTTAGTGAATATTTTTGGCCTTGGGGAATGGCAATAATTTGCAGATGTCATTAGTTAAATTAGTTTTCTGTGTTTTGTTTGTGTATATATGTATGTCCTTTGAAGTACCTGATTCAACATCCAATGAATACTTGTCTATTGCTAGATTCATGGTTTGGTATGCGGTATTACAGAAGTCCTCCAAGATCAAGTACACTGCTGTTGTCACTCCATTGGGAACTGGCTTGCCAAACTTCATCCTGCTGTTTACCACAATGCTGCCATTCCTGAAGTTTAAGATCTCTAAATTTTGGAAATTGCTGAGGTTGGATTGTAGATATGGCACGAGCTAGAAAAGACAGACATTGAAAAGAAGAATTAAAAGAGTATTCCAGAGAGCAGCAATACATGGCAGAGTCACACGCCTAGTTACGTTAATGGAAGTCAAGAAGGTGACGGAAGGTTCTAATTCCATCAATTATCTCATTAGTTAGAGTTCATGAAGACAACCATGTTAATTGAGTTAACGGATAGTATGCAAAGCCCCTAACAAACTCCTGATGTTCTACAACAAACATCAACAAATCTAAACTGGCGTAGTCCTGGGTGTAAGTTTAGAATGTGCTTTTTGAAATAGTAAATAGTAATTTTGTCATCACTGATGATACAATGAGATTTGTCATGTTCCACCATTCACTTCCATTGTATGACAAAGTGAAATGGTTACTGAGGCTATCAGTCCCAAACATTCCATCTAACATCCCTTGGGGTTCCTTAAAGGGTTAGTTCACCCAAAAATGAAAATTAAGTCATTAATTACTCACCCCCATGCTGTACCAACCCCGTAAGACCTTCGTTCGTCTTCGGAACACAAATGAAGATATTTTTGATTAAATTTGAGAGCTGTATAACTACCACATTGGCTCCTAAGGGACTGCCTCTTGACGGCCCAAAAAGTCAATGAAGAAAATGTTTAAATATCCCAAGTGACTACCGTGGCTCAACTATATGTTTATCAAGCGACGCGAATACTTTTTGTGCGAAAAAACAAACAAAAATAACGAGTTTATTCGACTATTTCTTTTCTTCCTTGTAGGCCAGAACGAGACTTCCTTATAGATTTCCCCGACGCATGCGCGAGAATTGCGATCTGAAGTAGTGTAAGCTGGCGTAAGCAGATCGCAAATCTCGCGCATGCGTCGTGGAAATCTAAGGAATTCTCGTTCTGGCCTACAAGGAAGAAAAGAAATAGTCGAATAAACTCGTTATTTTTGTTTGTTTTTTCGCACAAAAAGTATTCGCGTCGCTTGATAAACATATAGTTGAGCCACGGTAGTCACTTGGGATATTTAAACATTTTCTTCATTGACTTTCTGGGCCGTCAAGAGACAGTCCCTTAGGAGCCAATGTGGTAGTTATACAGCTCTCAAATTTAATCAAAAATATCTTCATTTGTGTTCCGAAGACGAACGAAGGTCTTACGGGGTTGGTACAGCATGGGGGTGAGTAATTAATGACTTAATTTTCATTTTTGGGTGAACTAACCCTTTAAGGTCATTACTGCCTAGGAACATGTTTAAGAACAGTTGCCAATAACGACTCGCCTTCTTACTGACTCTGTGCTTTCCATAAAGTAGAGCAAGCCTAAATAACTTTTAATTCCTAGCTAAGTCGCTATGGCTACTTCTAAACACCAAACATAGAACCACAGAATTAATGTGACAAATATATCTTACCAGCTCCTGAAACTGCTGCTCAAGAGCCTTGTACTCAGTAGAGCTCTTGTTGAACAGATCTTCTGAAAACATCATGTTGGTGACCCTGAGGCTGAAAAACACTATTAATGCCCTTCCAGGACTGGCTGGCAAGGCAATACTAGCCAAGTCAGTCTCACGAGCGAACCCACTACCATCATCTTCGCCATGGCTTGGTCCATCAAACGGGAAGATGTCGAACGAAACTTCAAATTCTGTTATATTGGGGTTAACTGGAGGAGGAACTTTCATAGTAGTACTGTCAGAGTTCACTAGTTCGTTAGGTAGGGTGAAGCCTGTGATGTCAGATCTTGACCCTACAGTGTGTTCTTGTTCGGAGTTGTCTGAAGTTTCTCCAGAATTAACTATCTTGTCGGTAGGTCTGAACGTTGGTTTATGTAATGATGGTACCATGGTGGAACTAACAGTCTCCATATGTTCTGAAACATCTGGAATGAGAGACATTGTGGATGAATTAAATATTGTAGTTGAATTCTCATCGTCAACATTCTCTGATGAAGCGGGCTCCTCTGAAATAGTTGCAATATAAGTGTGCGCCGCATAAGTTGGAGTCTCTGAAGTCGTCTCTTGCAGAAATGAATGCGTGGTTGATTGGGTAGGTAGTGGTTCTGTGGTTAATCCTGGCACATGTTCATCCTCATCTATTGATGAATGGGATATCCGAGTGAACGGAGAGTCCTTTTCAGGAGACAGGGAAACTGAATGATCTAAACTTTGGATTGATAGTTCGGTAGGTAGGGTGAAGCCTGTGATGTCAGATCTTGACCCTACAGTGTGTTCTTGTATGGAATTGTCTGAAGTTTCTCCAGGATTAACTATCTTGTCGGTAGGTCTGAACGTTGGATTATAAAATGATGGTACCTTGGTGGAACTAACAGTCTCCAAATGTTCTGAAACATCTGGAATGAGAGACATTGTGGATGAATTCAATATTGTAGTTGAACTCCCATCGTCAACATTCTCTGATGAAACAGGCTCCTCTGCAGTAGTTGCAATATAAGTGTGCAACGCATAAGTTGGAGTCTCTGAAGTCGTCTCTTGCAGAACTGAATGTGTGGTTGACTGGGTAGATAGAGGTTCTGTGGTTGATTCTGGTACAGGTTCATCCTCATCTATTGATGAATGTGATATCCGAGTGAATGGAGAGTCCTTTTCAGGAGACAGGGAAACTGAATGATCTAAACTTGGTCCATCAGTGGCTATTGTTATTGGGGCTGTTGTTGCAACCAAGATCTCATCCCCAAATAAATCCTCTTCCGAGAGTTTAGTCACTGGGTTTTCGGTAGGCACAAGCCCAATGATTTCCATATTCTCATCTAGAATCTTGACTTCTTCATCTAATCCTTCCACCTCTGTCCATATGAGTACAGGTAACTCTGTGATCCCCTTGGTTACAGGCTCAACAGCTTCTGAATAAGTGGTAGAACCTTCCTCAGAAACTGTATCAGTGTCTAGGATTACAGGTAACTGCGTGGTTTGAGGGATTTCACTTGACTTTGTTGCAACTGATGCACCCACAGTTTCCTGACTCTGTTTGTTGTCTGTTGAAGTAGTATACTTATTCGTAGCTACTGCCGTGCTTGGTGGGATTACAGTGGGCGTAACAAGTAGTTCTGTATAGTCTCTATCAGTAGGTGAACTGACTGTATCAGGACTTTGTGATGCATCTACATCTTGAGCTTCTGCTGAAGTGTAGACATGTTGCAAGGGTGGATTGGTCACAAGTGTGCCCACGGTGGTAGATTCATCTGGAAAATAGTCATATTGTTCAGGGGCTACTTGGGTCTGCAAAGAAAGCTCGACAGTCAAAGTCTCCATAGTCAAAAAAACTGGGGCTTGGTCAGTTGTTGTATAGTGAGGATGGGTACGAATGTCTTGTGTCACAAGAACCCTGTCCAAGAATGTCTCATCAGGTGGAAAATCTTGGTGAGGAGGTTTAAGCTGTTCCTCTAAAGATTCATGAGTTTCCCGAGGTTGGTGTACCTCATCCTCGTCGTCTTCATTATCCTCATCATCCGTCAAGACTTGTGGTGTTCCTGATACCCAAGGCCAGATGTCAGGACCTAGGTGATCCCCAGAGAAACCTGAGCCCGAGCCCAGGTCTATAAAATCACTCTGAGAAGTCACCTCAACATCAGGAGGTTCTACAGGAGAAACTGGTGTCTCTTCTATTTTGGGAGGTGACTCTGTAAGTAATACAACTCCAGTTGTCGTGCCTGTGTTAGGACTCACTGTAGTTGCAGTCTGTAAGAATCCCTCTTCTTCAAGAATACCATCGTCTGAAACAAGAACACAACATTTTTAGAACCATGTTACTGCCTTTAATGGTAACACATAATTGACAAGAGATAGGACTTACACCCCGCAGCAGGAGCAGGTGCACTGCTTGAGGTCTCAGATTTAGAGGTCATAATCTCAATGTCCAAATTCTTCAAAGACACTTCTGCGGGAGATAGAGTGGTACTTTCTTCAAAGATGATCACATCATTTGCATTTGTGTCCTTATTTTGTCCATCCATCCAGGTATCAAAAGTGTGAACAGGGTTAAGGAAGTCATTGTTTCCAATGAAGATGTCATTGTTGGATAATTCCTGCCCAGGAACATCTGGTGGTTTCTCAGAGGCAAGAACATTATCCTAGGATTTAACGATAAGTTAGTTAGTTACTGTTGCATTATATTTAAGACTTAAAGATAAGCCAAAAGCCATTTTAACTTTCCATACTGAGGCCTACTGTACGTCCACTGAATGTATTTATGTTATATCAAAATTGTGTCACCATTTGACCATAAAAAAAGGTAGACCGAGTGAGAAAAGTACACTTATGGTGAAAGTGAAACACATTTTCCTTAAACTTCTCACTGAATTACACTAGAAAAACATTTTTTTCCAGAGAAATGTCAGTGGAAAAAATTGCATAGACACAGTTAAATCACACATGCACATGATATTCACACCAGAGGATATTTGACCAGAAACCAGTTTTAGCTGTTCCATAAACCAGAAATTAATAGTTAACCTCCATGCAGATTTAGAATATGTCATGTTGTATACATGATGACTGGTAGTATATACATGCATGAGCTATTCACACCATTTTATTTTAATGCATGTAACGAGTGAGGTGCTACTGGTACTAGATCACCGTAAGTTGCACACATTGGCCTCATTCATGAAACACGAGCAGAACGAATTTCTGTGTAAATCATTCGTAAAAATCTTACGTAAGCTGTCACATTCAATTCAATGCAACAATTTACATAAGATTGGTTTCATGACCAATTTACACAGAAATTAGTTCTACTCGCATTTCTTGAATTAGGTCCATTGATAATTTAATATAAGACAAATGGCTTGACTGTCTACAAAACATCCTATAGAACTAGTTGAGCACCATACCAGTTAGATTTCTAATTTGCCTTAGCAGCTGACCTCACAAACTAATATTCATCTTAAACAGGATAGATCAGATAAGGCATCAACTTCTTGCAGTGACTTTTAGTAACTATAATGCATCTTTTGATGCAAGCATAATATAACCTGAGAGAGAGAGAAAGAACACATTTTCAAAACCAGACATGGACAAAAAGCTCCAGCCAAAACAAGACAGTAAATCTACTTAATAAGGGTATTGAAAAAAGTGCCAGTTTTGTCAAATGTAAGAGGAAAACGCGAGAGTAAATTCTAATATTATTGCCATGTTTGGTATCCAATGTGTCTTTCTAATTAAACTACAGACTCCTCGGCCTCTGCAATAAATATATGTCACAGTGAGATTAAAAACAGATTCTTTTCAATATTTCATAGAGCCTGAGCTAAACAATTTTCATAAAATAGCATGCTTACTTGTGTCTAGAGAATACTTGAGCTGGAAAATTGACTTGAATAGTTTTACAGACCTGCTGTATTATCCCATAGCAGTGCTATAATCTGTTTTAATGACATGCTATGAAAAACGAATTTATGTGCAAGGTAATTGTTCTTATCATGTAACAACAAAAACCTACATGTGATTGCTATTAGTGTGACTCATTTTTTCATTTAACAGCTTTGGAAGGATTCACATTCACACTTGAAAGTGATTGCATTGCAATGAGGTGAAGACGAAAAACACTGATTCCTAAACTGCTGCTCTGAATAAGGATTCTGGACTGGACAGTCATGGTTACCAGTTTACTGGGTGGTCCTGCCAATGACCATTGACTCACCATCATGTCATTGGAGTCAAGCGGTCTGCTGGTTGGTTTGGAAGGCAGCAATGTCTCCACTGTGAAGCCAAAACAGAGACAAATCATATCAAATTATACTTTAAACTGCTCAAGCACAGTTCATACCCATAATGGCGTCCCTTCAAGAGAGATTGGCTCTGAGGGCTGCAAGATTAGTCTGCCAAAACCAGAGATAAGAACCAAGAGGGTTTCTTGCTTCTGTTACAGTAAAACCGCATACAGCCAAGCAATGTAAGTAGATATCCCACCATTGTCAACATACTGCATTTTGGGTTCATTCAGCTACAATTGGCAATTTACCACTGAGACAGAACACAAACTTGAACCTGAATGTTTATAAGAAACATCAGTAAGAAGCATTCTGTTCAACACCCTGATGGTCTTGGGTTCCCTAAACCACAATGTGCCTCAATTTCTTAGATAAGTCTTACCGTTTTCCAGTTGCAAAGAATCAGGGTCCACATCCAGAGTGGTGTTTCTGATGAAATTCTCCTTGTGGAGGGCTTCGCTGATGTAGTTTCGTAAGTCTGTGATTGTGTAGACCACAGTGGGAAGCTCATCGGGATCTGTGAAGGGGTTCTCAACCATGTTGAAATGCAAGTTTATGTAATCCATGGTCTCATTACTTATTCCCGCACCATCGCCCTCAAGAACCACAGCGTAGTGCACCACAACTGCTAGGCCTCTGAGGAATGAAAAGAAAACAGTGACTCTTTGTGGTCAAAAAACAACATAATGCTTCGTCAAAGGCTTTACTAAGTATAAACTGGCCCCAGGACTGGAGCTGTAATGCCTAAAATGACTGCAAAATTTTGAAATAAAATACCAGCTTAATCTACTGTAGAAAAGGAGTTGGAGTTCGTCATGGTGGACCTTCCTATCTGTTCAATGATGTTTCGTCATATTCGAATATTATATTTAACCAGTTGTACATCAGTTGTAAAGTAAAATACGAAAATAATAGCTTACAGGTAACCGTAAGATGGGCTGCTGTTTTTAGCTGGTTTAAAATGGACTAGTTCTAATGCCAGCACTACCAAGCTGGTGTTAAGTCAGTCTCCTAGCCTGGTTTAGCTTATCAGCCTGCTAGTCTTTCTGTCTGACCCGCTGAAAAGTGCATAAAATATATTTAAAACAGACCAATTTAACCAGTATGGACAGGCTAGGAGACACTTCAGGCTTTCTGTTTTGTAGCAGAATGGCTAAAATAAAACTCCAGTCTATAAGGGCTTTCACACACAGGGTAGTTCTAGGAACTTAGTTCTAGGAACTAGCCACCAGTGTGGTTCCCCGATAATGAATGGTTCCCCTAGGAACGGTTTCCTGGTTGCAGGTAGGAACTCTGAAGTGACGTAAGCCGTGCTTGTTTTGTGACTTTTATTTTGGCGGCACGACGGCCCTTAATTTTGACATCATTTACCCCCTTTCCACCAAGGCAGCGCTGGTGCTGGTTCGGAGCCAGAGCCTAGTTTCAAATCGGAACTTTGTTTTTCAACCACCAAATTACCAGCTCCGAACCAGTAAAAGTGGTTCTTAAGTAGCACCAAATCTTTGCTGGTGTAGAAGTAAGAACCACTTATGTCAGCGGCTGGGGGTGGGGTTACCGTGACCAACAAGACGATGCAATTTTTGTGGGATCTGTCTCACAAGTTATTAGATAGTATTAGAACTGTTATACATAGAGTAATGAAAAGTTATTAGCGTATGCCATGTGGTTTATGTCCAGTGTTGCTAGTTAAGTTTGCATGTTAGTAGAGTTAATTTCTGTAGTAAATATATAGGGTATAATTTGTGTTTAAACAGCCTTTTTAAAAATGGCGGGTGCGGGTGTTTCGCGTGCGTTTGGCCAACAAGCACATACTAATGTCATGGATAGTCCCTATAGTGCAGGTTTAGACCCTACTCTGAAGTAGGAGCTAAATTAGTTCCTCCAAAAAGAGCTCCTAGAACTAAAATCATTCCTAGTTCATGCGGTGCGAACACTCCAAAATCCGGGTACTTATGCCAATAGTTCTAGGAACTATGAAAAGGTTCCTTCGGTGCGAAAGGCCCTCGTTAAAAAAGCTAGCGACCAAATATGCCCTAGAATATTCAGCAGCCAGCTGTTTGTTACAAGGGGAAATAAAAAACGAATGACCTAGATTTTGTTCCCCCACATACATGTTTCTACAAGGCTTAGAAACCTGACGAGTTTACAACCAGATTCATTTTCTCTCCCATAACAATCTCAACCAGGATTCATAATTAGCTTCATGTGGCATTAAGTGAGAACATCTCTGTTCTCAGGTGGACTCATGGAGCTCACAATATGCAGTAATCCATTGTGGTGTTTAACCAACACAGTCTCATCCCAAGTCGTCATATAACTGACGTCTTGGGACGTCTTTTGATCATACGTCAATATCCGCCTTTTTAGGGCCCCCTTAAACGTCAGTAGATGGCGATCCCGGGCCGTCATACAACTGACGCTTTACCTTTAACGTCAGTTAGGTGACGGGGTAGGTTTAGGGTTAGGTTTAGGTCTGGGGTTGAGTTAGGATCCGATAACCTCATCTACCGACGTTTAAGGGGGCCCTAAAAAGGCGGATATTGACGTATGGTCAAACGTCAGTTATATGACGTCTTGGGATGAGACTTCGCTGGTTTAACCAAGGCCTCACTGATAAACCTCACATGGAAACCTTGCCATGATGACATTTGAGAGCAGAGGACATTTAGCATTTAATCGCATCATGCTTGCCAGCTGGGCATGCATTTAGCACAGAGACTTATCCCACTTAAGGTGGCGATTGGCCAGATAAAATACCCCACTGGCACATGCGCATAAGATGCATCACACCTAAATGAGTATGACCATCTTTTCAATCGATTGATTTCGCAAGGTTTATGAGGCTGCAAGCACATGACCTAATCAAGAAAACAGTGTGAACGATTTCAGAGCAATGCTTTAATAAAACACTACATTTGGTGGGTGGAAAATTCAGGCACATGAATTTCTCATTAGATGTTTTGAAGGAGATATAGGTCACGCAGCTGTGTGATATGGCAAGGTGGAGAGATGGATTTATCAGGTCCGAGTAAAACATTGCACTTAGTAGCGATAGCCCAAATAATATTAATATCTGTTTTCTTAATTTTGATATGTGATTAACTGTGACTTATAAAATCAATGCACATAGCTTCAGAGCCAAATAAAAGTTGGAATACTTACCCTTCAATGTCCTTCTGTGGCCTGGGATTTTTTAGTGAGAAAAAAGGAATAATATAAAGAAATGAATATATATATATTACTTTTTAATTTATTTATCTGTATGCATAGTTAAATCATTAAAAAAACCATACCTGAATTCAAGGACAAATATTTTCTTGAACCCTGGGAGCTTTTCAAAAACCTCTTCAATCTTCAACAAAAGAAAGGAAAATCTATAACTATACAACACATATATAAACCCTCATGAACATGAGAGTATAGATTTTAATAATTTAAAGGTGTCATGAAATGAGAAATCATTTGCACAGCTTTTGACAAGAACTTTCTTGTTAGTCTAAAGACAGCTTTTACTGTAACCAAGCCCAGTAGGATGAAAATAATCTGTTATTTAAACTTATTTAATTATATATAGAAAGGGATCCTTTGCAATCGCTGATAAACTGCACGAGTTTATAAGTGAGTCAAAACTCCCGTTATAACAAAGTCTGTTTTATAGTCTTTGGTTATAATCAACAAATCTGTTATTTACATTATGTTTGCACTGTTAATTATGATGAAATCATTCGTTAGTGTGCAGAAATTGAGTCGCAATGACGAGCTCACTGCCATCATGCACTCCACATGTCTGTGATATGCTACAATGCTAATCACTGCAACCTTTTATGCCACCATCTAAATATAATACTATACATCAAAATATAATGCTATAATCAACACATTTCATGATTTGTTAACCTCATGCTAAAGGTTTTCGAGGTAATACTATCTATTTCATTTGCAAAGACGTTAGCCAATCACAGCAGACACGCCCCTCCAAACAGAGTGTTACAATCAGAGGGCTAAAATTAGGGTAGGAAAAATGCCTTTGAAAAATTATGATGATTTTTTGATGTAAAAATCATACTAACATTTATAAGTACACCCCAGGAAACATTATAAAAAAATGAAACAAAGCAGTTCATGACCTCTTTAAATGCTTCATTCCCCACATACTTGTCACTCTCTATATGAAACTCACCTTATCAATGAACATCTCCGATAGATTTTGATAGGTGTAACTTGATGGATCTCTCAGAGCATCATCATAGCTTTTACCTCTTAGCTTAATACTCAGCTCCACAATATGGTCTCCGATAGGACGTATGGGTCGGACCACAACGTCATCTATTTCATTTCCAATCTATATTTTTGTTCAAAGAAAAGTTTAAGGGTAACTCACAATTACTTAGTTAAACAAGCTATGTACAAAGTCTCAAGTTAAATAATAGTTACAATTATAAATTGAATGTGCTCACCATGTTGTTTTCGTCTAAAATATCATTGGAAATGTCCTGTGGCAAGGTTTGTAATGTGGAGGAGAAAGTCTTTTGAATAGTAGTTGTCAAGTCATTCAGTACAACAGTGATATCTTCCACTTTCAAGATAGGAGTTGGGGTGTCATCCTCTGCAGGTTGCCGTTGGACAAAATGAATGTCAGGTGTTTCAGGTACAATCTCAGGCACCTCTGACAGTTCAGATATCGACAAAGGTGTCTGATCTGTAACTTCTGGTGTCTCTGACATGGCTTCATTTGTCTTCACCATAACTTCAGGTGCTTGAGATGTGATATGAGTGGTCTCTGTTATAACATCAGCTTCTGTAACAACCTTAGGTGTCTCTCTTGCAACTTCAGGTGTCTCATTTACATCTTCTGTGACTTCATGTAAGATTTCCACCACAACTGTTTGTGTGTCCTCTAGAATTTTTGATGGATCTGTAACTTCATGTACGTCCTCATTTATGGCAGTAGTCAGTGTATCTTTTTCCATCTCAGTAACAGTAAGGTCTTCAAAAACTTTGAAAAGTGTTTCCCCACCACCTTCAACCGTTTTAGGTGTTTCTTCTACCTTATATTCCATGCCTTTGGTTACAAATGCTACAATGTCAGTTTCTGGGGTAACAATCTCAGAAGAAGTATCAAGCGTAGCCTCAGGTGTTATTTCAGTTGTGGCCATACTTGTGAACTTAGTAGACGTTTCTGTGGGCTTCTCTTTAACCGTAAACCTTTCAGTACTTTCCTCAAATGATTCCTTAAAGATGGCACCTTCAGTTACATCCCCTAATTCAGCAGCAGCATCCCTTTTTCCTCCCTCAAAATCTTGAAGTGAGTTTTCAAGAACTGTCACTTTGTCTGTTCCAATGTCTTCAAATTCAACCCCAGTAACATCTATTGCCTCTGTCATCATCTCACCAGATTTCATAATGGCAGTTGTGTCCTCATCCACAAGTGTATCTCTCTTAGTAAACACATCAGAAGCTTCTGTAGTTTCCTCTGTCACTTTGGCTATATCTCCAACCGCAACTTCTGGGGTCTCAGTTATAATGTCCTCGACCTTACCCAAATCATTATCTTCAGAATCAGGAGTGACCTCTGTAGGCTCATAAGTTTCCTTCGACACTTCATGAGTACTCTCTGTCACGATATCAGGAAGTTTTCCAACTGTTGTGATCTCTGGTGTAGATTTGCCCTCTTTAGCGTAGGGTGTCTCTTCTTCATCTTTATCAAGTAATGTTACAATTGCAGTGTCTTCAAGTGTGTCTTCTGTTGATACAACATAGGTTTCTTCAAGTAGGTTTTCCACTGTATAATTGCTAGCAACCTCAGTTGATGTATATGCAGGTGTAGTGGGTGAGATCATTTCTGGCACAGTGGTCACATATGTGATTTTGACAACATCCTTATCCGTCAAAGCTTTTGGCAACTCATTTGTCGGGGGGATCTCTAGCAGTTCTGTAGGAGTTGTCTGCTTTGGTTCCTCTGTCAAGACATTTTGAACAGGAGATATTTCTGTAGGAGAACCTACCGGAGGTCTATCAGTGGACATCCCTGTAGCTTCTGAGATAACATCAACATTTATATACTGAATGGTAACAAGTGCTGATTTAACAGGACTTTCAGTAACACCTTTTCCAACATCTAGTTCAGTTTCTGAAATAAAATTTTCAATGTATTCTCTAGTGACTACTGAAGGGGTATTAGTACTTATTCCTGGTGAGTCCTCAAGGGTTGTAGGGAGATCTGTCTCAGAGGCGAAACCACCCGAAGTTCTACCAGGGGGCATCAATGTAACCTCTGACACAACGTCAACTTCTACATTTTGAATTGTAGCATCCACTGTTTTAACAGGACCTTCAGTAGCACCCTGCCCAATGTCCAGTTTAGTAACTGAAATAAGCTCTTCAGTAGATTCACTGGCGACTCCTGTAGGAGTGTTGGTAGTTATCCCCAGTGAGTCCTCAAAAGGTGTGGGGATATCATTATCATATTCTTCTGGATTTCTTTCAGTGATCATCATTGTAGACTCTGAGACAATGTCAACGTCTTCATGTGGAATGGTAACATCCGCTGTCGTAACCTGTTTCACAGTGGTCTCCTTTCTGAGTTCAGTAGGTGAACTAGTGCTTGTCCCTAGTATGTCATCAAAGGATGTGGGAATAACATACTCATATTTTCCGGAAGTAGAATATTCTGGAGGTACATCAGTGGTCATTAATGTTGATTCAGAGACAATGTTCTCCTCTTCATGTTGAATGGTAATAACTGCTGTGTTAATTGGACCAAGAGTAGCATCCAGTCTCACCTCCGGGTCGGATTCTAAATGAAGTTCTTCAGTGAATTCACTGGTGATTATTGTAGTGCTTATCCCAGGTGAATTGTCAAAGTTTGTGGGAATATCATACTCATATTTTTTTGAAGTAGAATCTTCTGGAGTTCTATCAGTGGTCAATAATGTAGACTCAGAGACAACATCAACTTCATATTGAATGGTAACACCTGCGGTCTTAACCGGACCATCGGTAACATCCTGTCCTAACTCTGTTTCTGAATGAAGCACCTCAGTAGAGTCACCAATGTAGGTGACTATTGTAGGAATAGTAGTGCTTATTCCTAATGAATCCTCAAAAGTCGTGGGAATCTCATAATCATACTGTCTCGTAGTAGACTCCTCTGGAGTTCTATCAGTGTTCATTAATTTAGACTCAGAGATTACGTCAACCGTTTCAAGTTGAAAGGAGACAACTGTTGTCTTAAATGGACTATCGGTAACATCGTTTCCCAACTCTGTTTCTTCGGTAAAATCACTGGTGACCACTGTAGGAATAGTAGTGCTTATTTTGTGTGAATCCTCAAAGGTTGTGGGAATCTCATGATCATATTTTCTTGAAGTAGATTGCTCTGGAGTTCTTTCAGTGTTCAATAATTTAGACTCGGAGATTAGGTCAACCTTTTCATGTTGAAAGGAGACACCCGTTGTCTGAAATGGACTATCGGTAACATCGTTTCCCAACTCTGTTTCTGAATAAAACTCTTCAGTAAAATCACTGGTGACCACTGTAGGAACAGTAGTGCTTATTTCTTGTGAATCCTCAAAGGTTGTGGGAATCTCATAATCATATTTTCTTGAAGTAGACTCCTCTTGAGTTCTATCAGTGTTCATTAATTTAGACTCTGAGACTATGTCAACCTCTTCATGTTGAATGGTAACATCCAATGTTTTGACAGGACCCTCGGTAGCATCCACTTTGACTTGCAGTTCAGTTTCTGAAACAGGTTTCACAGTGGTCTTACTTGTGAGTTCTAAAGGTGAACTAGTGCTTATCCTTGGTGAAGCCTCAAAAGCTGTGATACGATCAGGCTCAAGCGTCATTTGAAGCTCTGCAGCCACAGTGGTGAGTAATATTTGGTCTGCAATGGTCTTTGATGTGGCATCCTGTGAATCTGTCACTGCTTCAGGAATCAGAATACTGACTGTGTGAGGAAAGTGAAACAAAGAGAAGGAGGAAGTGGGCAAGTGGCAGAGTAAATGTACGTCATTTTTATTTAATTTTGTAAATTCATCCATTAATGGCATGGATCCATTCATTCCATGGCGTTAATTATCTTCAGGATTGCAGGGCAAATCTCCAAGTACCCTATAGTTAAGGCTAAGCCCATGCACAAATAATTAGTTACACTTGACTAAATGGTAAAACTTTGTCTGAGGATCCTGACACCTTTACTTCCTTACAAGCAATTGAGTACCTAAAAAGGATTAATGTCTATTCTGAGAGCAGTCCTGAGCTAGCGAGCAATAGGTCTCAGTTGATATGACTGCAAGGTCTCATGCGGACATTTACTATACACATGAATCAGAGCATAACTTTAAATCAACAGACTCCAAAATCAGTCAATAGAAATAAGACTTTCTGGACTTTAGCTACTTATTTTGAAATATTGATAAACACAGGGAATGTGCATACAGATCCATTGTGAAGCATATTGTTTCAAACATTTTTGTAAACTAGACTGACCTTGTTTGGTTGTGGCCACATTTGCTTGTGTTGGCGCAGTAGTTGTTGTCTGATGTCTGAGAAAGAGAAGAAAATTATACATGCTTTTAAAGGTCAGTAACATAGCCTAACAAACAGAGCAATTCCAAGAGGGTCCTCTCACCATCGATGCTCGGGCCCTAAAAATCTAACCTTCTTATTGGCAAATGAGTTTAGTTTTCCGTCTCAGGAAATTACCTGAACCATGAGGAGTGCTATGTCTCTAAAGCTAGCAGAAAGTGAACTGGCTTTAGCAGGGACTAAAGGTAAGGTTGCAATTTTTGCAGACTGTATTCAACTAGGGTGTTTTTTTTTCCTGCAAAGCACCAGTGTGTGCTCAGAATTAGCGGCCTTATCAGCCTTAGCTGCCTGGCTAAAGAGATAATTGATGTTTCGGATTCAATTAGTGATAGGGTTCGGTTACATACGTTACAATCTGAGTTCCACACTGGGCATTTGCATTATATATATATTTAGGCTGCAGGACCGTACTAGTTTATGTAGCACTATGTTGTTTTGTGCCCTTTAGTTGCCTGGGAGTCCTACCTGCATTCAGGCTGCCATGGGCTGGTGGGTACACTATCATAAGACAAATATAGGAATTGCGTGATTACACTGTTACTTTGCAAACAGTGGGATGTGATGTGGGTTCTTGCTTTTTTTTGTCTATATTAACACATAATTATGGTAAATATGGAGATGTGCTGTTTTAAAGTTTGATGGCAATTTGTGTGTGGTGAAATTCAACAGAGTGTAAAGCCTGAAATTAAAAGTATTTAACTTACAATATTTTCATATGGTACTCCACAAAGCTAAATGTCTGTAAGCATTTCTCACCTTGTTGATGTTAACGAAGCCGCTCCTACCCTCTGCAAAATACCATTAAAGTCAGTTTGCTTCTTTTTTTCGTTTGCAAGAATTTTCTGTATCTTTGAACTAAGTTAACAGTGTTGATTCGATAATTCTTTGTTTGGTATCGTTACATAGACAGGGATACTTACACTTGATATCATAGCAAGGTGCTCAGCTGACTGGCTAAAGCTCCGGCCAATGTCAAATACGCTAACACTACTGTTTTGACATTTCCTCATCCAGACCTGGTACTCTTCTTTCTCAGGTAAACGATCCCAGAAGATTTTGAAAGCCTCCCAAACTGTTTCCTGGCACACTAAGGAATAGAAACAATCGCAATGGAAACACACTTAAATGGGTGATTCAGTTTTTCAGGTAACTGAAAAACAGCCAAAACATTGAGGATATAGTACATATTTTCCACTAGTTCTGAATGTATTTACAATTAAGTTTGA